TTAAAATCAAAACAAATATAATATGAAAAACATTCTCCTTTAGTAACTGTTTTAACTAAAAATTGTTGTCGACTTATTTGTTGACAAACATAATAAGTTTCTCTTAGCCAACCACGATTATTAACTTGTGATATTTCATGTATATGTGTAGCATTAATTATTGTTCTTGCATTAACATTAGCCGTATTAACCCATTCACCAGTAAAATTATCTGGAAAAAAACAAGTTGGTGTTGGAACTTCGGGAATAATTGGTGATATAATAACTTTTTCTGGTCCATCTGTTGGTGAATAAAGTCGAGCACATTCAGCAAATAAAGATTTAGCAAACCATTGTGGTTGATCTTGTCGTGTTAACATACAACGAAATTTATCATACCAACGTTCTGATCCAACACGTTCATTAGCAATACCAGTAAATATATCTCCTTTATCATTAATCCAATAACCCAAACATTGATAAAGTGGTTGAGCATCAATTGATGAAACAAGATCTCGACAATAACCATATGTCATCCAAAAACGTTCATTAACAGCTTCAAATGGAGTTCCAGGATCCGGACAAGAAACTAAACGTGATATTGGATTATCACAAATGCCAATACCACCTTCACGAAATTCATATGTAAAATGATATGTTCCATAGATTGTTGCACGACATTCTTCAGCTGAATATGTTTTTACTATTTAATTAAATAAATAATTAATTAATAAAAAAAAACAAAAATAAAAATGATAATATAAACTAACAAAATAATGTATCAAAATCAGCATCTTGATTAATACTTGCACAAAGATCTTGAAAATTAATTTGATTTGTTACAATTGATGTTATTTCATTACATTCACTAGTTCGTATTTGAAGAACATTTCGTGTTCGATTGTATAGTTCATAACATTGATAACACGATTTTTCTCTTTAAAATAAAAGATTTTGTTTCTTTTTTTTTTATATTAATAATGTAAAAAACAAAAAAACTTACTTATCTCTATAAATAAGTTCAAAATGATGTTTTGAAGCATGATCAAAAGGATTTTCTCTCCAAATAAGATTAAAACATTCTCCAATAGCATGATTATCAAGAACTGTTATTATATTAGCAGTAGCACCACGACCCGATTCTCGACGATAAAAAAGTCTATCGATATCTCCATTTTCTTTTAATGATGTATGAGCTTCAAGACCATTTTCATATGAATAATATTCACCCAATAATGGACGATCAAATGTACATCCAATTTGACTTTTCACTAGATTTTATAAAATAACAAATATTTTATTATTTTATTTAATTAAATTTTATTTATTTATTTAAAACCTGTTTTGCCTATTAAAATGATGGATAATAATATTAATGCTTTTGTCATCAGCATTAGTATTATTATTATTGTTATTATCTAAAAGAATTCAAAAAACGAAGCTTTATTATCTTTTTCAAATGATTCTTTTTCTTCTAAGCGTTAATCAAACAATAATGCTTTTTTTTCAAGACGACATTATTCATAGATTTTTTTTTATCTAAAAAAGAAGAAAAATCTTTCTTTTTTTTTTTATTTTATTATGAAATTGTCAAAAGAATCTATCTGACCTACATATTTAATTATTGATTTATCAAGAAACAAAATTTGACAAATATCTGACAGAAATTATCGAAACATAATGTACAAAAAAAAAACAAAAAATTGATCTGACAAATGGAATGAAAATGAATTATCTGAATGAAATAACAAATAATCAATTTAAGAAAATGAATAAAATAAATGTAAAAAAGATAAGAAAATATTTGTTGATATTAATTATTGATGATTTGGCATAATAAAAATGAAATTCTTCTAAATCAATAAATACATTTCTACCATCATCATAACGAATTGGACAATCATCATCTATTTTATAAATATAATATTTCATCAAATTTAATAGATAACTTACGAATTCTTTCAGCTTCAATAAGTGTTATAGCAAGATCAGCACCATCTTCAGATTTATAACTTTCAGATGTTTGATTAAAACCACAAGCTGAACCAGCTGATCTTGATAATGTTATTGTTGTTAAATCTCGTCTTTCATAAACCCAACATTTATAATTATTATAAGGATCATCACGATCATATGTAACCATCACTGATCGAGAATCTTCTCTCCAATATCCAGCACATTGATATATATAATCAGGTTGTTCATAAACACCAATTGGTGTTCCATATGGATCTAATTGTCGACAATATTCACGATCAGCAAACATTGATTTCGTTTGATCACCACATATTGTCCATTGTGATACCATATATTGAGGATCACATGTTATATACCAACCATGATCACGTGGTCGAGGTGTTACACCACCACGAATTCGTGTTTGAATTAATGAATTTGGTTGTCCAACTTGTTTAAATGTCCACATACCAGTAAATGGACATTCAATTGGTGCTGGTGGATCTAATACAAATACTTGATATTTCCAATTAGCATCATTACCAAAACTTGTCCATGAACAAACTTCATAAAATGGATCACGATTTGGAAATAAGTTATATAAATTAGACATAAATGATTTTGATTTTCTATATCTTAATATATTATGATGACGATCTTTAAAATCAAAACAAATATAATATGAAAAACATTCTCCTTTAGTAAC